TTCTATCTGCTTGAGTGGCAGTTATGGTTTCTTTGGGGTGTTTATGTTTCTCATAAAACGTATTTGAAATAAATAAATTGTTGATTGTGCAAAATTCAATCATTCTATTTCCAGCTTCATTTCTGTCACCAAGTCCATGTTATCCAACTGCTGATCCTTGCTTCTCTGTTCCCAACTTTCACATTCCAGTCATTACTATTAATGCCTCTTGACTACATGCTCAATCAGTCTCTGACTGCAAATGTTGGTAGAAATCTTCCATTTCCTCTTCTTTGGCTCTCGTTGTTGGTGCATATATCTGAATGATGGTGGTATTCACCGGACTTCCTTGTATGCATATGGATATTATAATCACAATATTGTATTTCAAGATTGGTGCAAAATTTGCAAAAGCATACCTTTTCAATCTATATGAAGAACAAATTATCTGGGAGACTGGGCTCTATGAGGAGAAATGTGACATCAGGATTGGAGGAAGATTCATCAACAATCTGCATTATGCAGACGACACAACCCTGCTTGCTGAAACTGAGGAGGACCTGAAGCACTTGCTGAAGAAGGTCAAGGACTTCAGCCTTCAATATGAATTGAGGCTCAATAGCAAGAAAACAAAGATTCTCACCACTGGGCCAATTAGCTGCATCATAATAGATGGTGAAGAGATTGAGATTGTTCACAGCTTTAGTTTGCTTGGCTCTACAATCAACACTCTTGGCACCAGCAGCCAGGAAATGAAAAAATGTATTGAGATGGGATAAAGTCTGCTGTTAGAGATCTCTCTAAAGTACTGAAGAACAATGGTGTCACTCTGGAGGCTAAGGAGCATCTGATACAGGCCATGGTCTTTGCAATCTCTTGCTCTGTGTCAGAGAGATGGAAATGATAAGAGATGAGAGGAGACTTGATGCCTTTGAGGTTTGGTGTTGGAGAAGAGTATTGAATATATCATGGACTGCTAAGAGAACAAACAGGTTCATCCTAGAGAGGGATTCTGAAGCTTTGTCTGACATATTTTGGACATGTTTCAAGAAGTGACCAGTTGTTGAGGTCCCTTGAGGGACATCATTCTTGGGAGGGTGGAGGAACAGCACGGGAGAGGAAGACCCTCTATGAGACAGATTCAGTGACTGGGGTAATAGGCTTAGGTGTGTTGGAGCCAGTGAGATTGGCACAGGATAAAGCAGGGTTTAGGACTGTTGTACATAGCATAGTTATGAGTCGCACATGACTTGATGGCACATAACAACAACAACGGCACACACTTTGGGTATGTTATCAGTAGGGGCCAGTCAATGGCAAAGGACATCATGCTTTGAGAAGTGGAGGGTCTGTGAAGGAGAGGAAGACGCTAAATGAGATGGCTTGAAACGGACTTTAACAACTGCAAGAGAGGCGGAGATGTGAAAAATGCCAGCAGACTGGACAAGTTTCAATCCACTGTTTATACAGTCCCTGTGAGTTGTAATCCACTCCACCGCACATTTGTGCTAACTCAACTAGAAACCTAAAGGTTGGCAATTCAAACCCACAGAAGAGTCACCACAGAATAAAGTCCTGGAAATGTGGTTCCACAAAGATGAAATAAACAAAACCCCTTGCATTTCTAAAAATTATTATTATACTGGTTTCTTTACAAAGTTCATACACATTACTTTTCACTCCAGATCCTTCCCTATTCCTTCACCCCCTCCTCCTTCCACACATTAAATTGTAAAACTCCTTGCATTTGAGCAGGGCCAGGTAGTTTATAGGGTCCATTGAGTTTCCAGGGCTTTAAATTTTTATGGAAATGAATTGCTACATCTTTCTTTCTCCTCCCCACCCTCCAGCCTAGTGGACCTTTTCGGTTAGCACGTAAATCTGCGCCACTAAGGCTTATATCTGTAAACATTATAGTAGTTTGTTGTTGTTATGTGCCATCGAGTCGCTTGCGACTCATAGCGACCCTATGTACAAGAGCCCTAAATGCCATTTTATCCTGTGCCAACCTCGCCGTCTCAAACACATTGATTCCCACCACTCCACTCACAGAATCGATCCATCTGATCAAGGGTCTTCCTCTCCTGCACTGTCCCTCCACTCTCCCAAACATGATGTCCCTTTCCAAGGACCAGTCCCTCCTTGCAACATGCCCAAAGTATGTCAGACGAAGCTTCAGAATCCTTGACTCCAGCGAACATTCTGGCTTCACTCTCTCCAGGACAAACCTGTTTGTTCTCCTAGCAGTCAACACTCTTCTCCAGCACCACAACTCAAAGGCATCAATTCTCTTAGAAAAATCAAACCAAGAAAACCACCCAATAACCCCTATGGCGTGGTTTTGCTCTGTATCCGTCCCAACAGCTTCAATGGCAAAGAGGTCCACACAGATCAACGTTAAACATTTACATCCCCCTCCCCGGTTAGAATTAAGCTGCTAAAGGAGAGGTCAGCGGTTCAAACCCAGAAGCAGCAAAAACAGGCTGCCCGTAAGGATTTACAGGCTTGGACACTTGCTGAAGCAGTTTTTTGCCATCTTCACAGACTTATGGTGGCAAGAAGCTGTGCTGCAATTCCAAAGACGACGGGTTCAAATCCACCGGAGGATGGGCAATCTCCTGCCGTGGGATTTGCTGCCTCTGAAATCCCGCTGGAGGGTCAGGTGTGGGCCAGCTCTGACTCTAACGCACACAATGACAAAGTGAGAAAAAAACGCCAGGTTACTGGGGGGGGGGGGGGAGAACACCCCTCCCACAGGGGAAGCACGGCGCATGCGCAGTCAGGCCCGCGCCCCGCCCCGCCCCTCCGGGAAGGCGGGGCCGCTAAGCTTTAAGGCTCGGGCTGAGGTCCCGCGCAGGCGCAGTCAGCCCCGCGCCCCGCTCCTCCGGGAAGGCGGGGCCGCCAAGTTTAGAGGCCCGGGCTGAGGTCCCGCGCAGGCGCGGTGCGGGCGCCTGTCCATCGCCCCTTTTCCTCTCCGCCTCCTGAGCGTGCGGAGCGCCGGCGGGTGCGGCGGGCGCTGGCGGCGGGGGTCGCGG